GGCGATACGTTCCTCCGAAACGTCGGTTAACACCCCTTATACACGGTGCCAAATCCCAGAAGACTGCTTTCTTCAAAGCGGGAATAGTTTCAATGAAGACAGCAAATGTTGTTGTAAGATATACATTGACATCTGTTGTCTCCATTGAAGATATTCCAGCTTTATTGTGTTGACGATTATAACATATGATAAATAATTATTAAAACTTGCATACCTGCTTCCATCTTGAGGCTAAAACCAAACATGACAATACAAGCAGATATTTTTTTTAGAAATAAGGCACTGCATATAATCTGAATAATAACAACAGCAATAATACAGATTTCTGTTTTGTCTTGTAATGATGATAAAACATCTTTTTTTTCTTTATTCTGTACAGGTTGATATTAACAAGGGACAGCCCTTCTGTACAACTTATGGTAATGGAAGTACTGAAGCAAGTGATGAAAGCTGCTCAAGAACATTTTGATACACAGAAAAAGAAGAAAATTAAAGGTATCGTTGAACGTTACTTGATATAAGTATACGATGGGGTACCCAAAAGAAACCGAACTAATTTTTTTGTGGGCAGAGCTTTTGTAGTACCGCGTTTTGCCACTATGAGCGCATAGAGCTAACATTCTTGAGTCGATAAGCTGACTACCGTTGCTTCAGAAGGTAAGGACTAGTTTCGGCAGAGTTTATAGTGACAACTGTTTTGTGTGATCGTCGTTTTTGCAATGGCCTGAACACATGAAAATGTTGAAAAAATCCGTGAAATCATCAAGGAAGATCAACGACGGACCCTTGAAGAAATTGTGGAGCTGTCGGGAGTGACTTAGAGCTCAGTTCAGTTATTTTTGACAGAAGATTTGGGAATGAAAAGGGTGGCTGCGAAATTCGTGCCACGACTGCTGACTGCTGAACAAAAACAAGGTCGCGTGGAAGCATGCTGTGCTTTGAAAGAAGAGTCCCGAAATGATCAAAACTTTTTTTCAGCGTTTTGCTGATGTTGCTGAGGTGAAGGAAAAAAACGACGGAGGCGCTGTGAAGCATCTCAAAAGATGAATTTAGACAATGTTTTGAAAAAAGGAATGAAAGACTAGACATGTGTATTAGTGTAAGTGGAGAGTACTTTGAAGGGGATTGAAGGTTTGTGCTTAAAATTTGAATAAATAAGTTTAAAAAAAAAATAAGTTCGGTTTATTTTGGGTACCCTTCATACTTCGGTAAATACCTGAATAATTTGCTCTTAAAATTAATATGAAGCAACTCCACTCCACAGTTCTATTCATGTCAATAATAGATGATATTTTCTATGCAGCAGAGCATTAACTCTTGTTTCTTCCAGGAATTACTTTTGTAAATGTGTACTTGTAATTCAGAAGCAGAATGTAACCAGTCTTGGATGATGTAAGGCTGAAAGTGCTAGGGTGATAGAGGTACATGGATATGATAAGGGATAGAGGAGACCCCATGGTCACACCATGCCCTGCTCATAGCACTGCCTGTAGAACATAAGATAATTTGACATGAGCACTAAGAGGAAGAATGTGGTTGTGTGTTTGCTGAACTGTTTCTCCAGTAAGTCTGTTGTGACCTTGAGGGGTGCACAGGTGAATAGTGATAATCATGTGAGAGCTGATAAAATGATTCCCATCAGGCCATTTGCCAGTGAGATTATGATCTGAATTAAATAACCGGAGTTCCTGACATCTCATGGCAGTAGGTTTGTCTCGTACTGATTAGGACCTCATTGATCAACTAACCAATGAGCAAAGCACACTTCAACATGCCAGAAAGAGCAGCACACAAGACCAAGTTCCAGAAAATGAAGAACACACACAGCACATACTAACAAAAATAGATTGGTTGTCAGCGTGATTGACATCCGTCTAGACAAAGCCACAACTGCATCATTATGTAACGGCCTGAAAACTTTGGTATTGCACCCTGGAGAGTGCAATTCTGAAAGCATGGAAGACAACCTACATAGCAGCTTCACTGGAGAAGCTGGCTACCAGTTAAGCCCTACCTGGAAGATCACCCTTGAAACCAAGCAACAGAAAGGATACCACATACTTACTCTTCTCTTAAATCTCTTGCCAGATTGGTGAACATCTACAGCAGCTCCATGAGGGAAATTCCCCCCAAGGATGAATCCCAGCCTACCTACCATCCCTGGCTAGTGCAGCTGAAAGGGTTAGGTCAATTGAAAAAATCCACCTCATCGGGACTCGAATGTCTAAACCCATCTGCCTTCTAAAACATCTTTCTTCATGATTCTTCTGTGCCATCCCTGTTGAAACCTACCCTCAACTGAAGGTGACCCTTAACCACTTTCCATGCCACTTGACCGACAGTGTAGAAAGCTGAGCAATGTGATGCCTGATGGACACTTGGATGGGTGACCACTCAGGAACTGCGGTTGTCAGTGGGCGTTTTGGTGCACCCCATAGCCCTCAGTTGCTCAACTTTTATAGTTAGCTCAGATGAGGCACCAACCCCCTCTATCCCTCTCCCCTGTTGTTTTTCAAAACAGGATCATCCACCTTACACACTTCAGACCTGAAGATGGGGGCAACATATAGTTCTGAAATATCATTAACATCTTTATGTATATTTCATGTATGTGTTGGTTTGAAGTTACTGCTCTCCAAGAAGAAAATGAATTATTCTTATTTATTATGAAGCTAAAGGTTGTGACATCATACAACTTTTAAATTTTTCACCATCTTGGCGCATCAGTGTGTTAAAGTCTCCTGAGTATCTAATAGATTGTTTATGCATTAAATGATACATAAATGTCTACCAACAAAATATCTGTTGACAGACTGGTATGTTATTTTATGTGTTAAATTGTATATGTTAGAACAGCAGGGGACATAGACTGCCTTATGTGTTAGAGTGTATATGGTCTCTTAGCATCCATTAGAAATGAAAGGAAAATTTGGAGACAGTAGGATTTTATGTTACAGATAACTATTGGAAATCTTACAGTTCATTAGATATGTGTTCTGTGTCTATGGTGACATTCTTTCTTTCCGTAACATCTGTAATACCACCAATGCAAATTACAGAGATGGTGCCAGCAAATCAGGAATCGCGGGCAACACAAGAAGTAGATTTACTGGGAGAAGGTGGTAGCACTGGTGAAATAATACCTGGACAGTCCCTGGTATTTGCCGTGTTGGAAGTGTGTTTGTGTCTGTTAGTACGCCAGGTGCCTGCATTAAATCCTTTGCCAGGACCAACCCCCATAGTCAGGCAACATCACACTCTTCACTTCACAGAGGAGTCAGGACAGCTGATAGCCGCCGCTCTCTCCTGCATGGAATGTTTACCCAGACTCTGCTCTCCACAAGGTGAGTGCCCATAGTGAATACTGATCAACCAGCTAATTTTGCAGTATTTGAACTCAAAGGTTAAATGTTGCTAGTACCAAAACCTGCCATCAGACAGGCACCTGAATCAGTTTTATACGTCTCTTTCCCAGGCTTTCAAGTAGGTACTTTCCCAGAGGTTTACCTACCAAAATTGTGAATGCACCTCTTGTATCATCCATAGTGTCTACTTGTTCACTAATTGTAATCTCAATTTTAACACAGTGAGTTGATCCATCAGGCTAGTGAAGAATTGTACCATCTTGTCTACTAATAGAGTGGAAATAAAATTAATTCAGTACAACTGTATCTGCATTAAGATCCAGTAATATTTTCAGAAAATAAAATATTTCCGCTGTACTACCTGTATCTGACAATCTTAGCTTTAACTTCCTTTTTTCATCCAAAAATGTAATTGAAGGTGCAGATTGCAAACTTTTGACCATCCTATTTATACAGAATTCTGAGCTTGTGCTTAGTAAACTGTAATGATAAAATAAAAGGAATATTCTAAAATGACTAAAATTGCATTTTGGAATCGTCAGTAAATATTCTCATGAACAAATGATGTAATGTTTTTCATTTAGGCTCAGGTCAAAGCTAATGAAATAGCATATGTTACTGAAAGTTCAGGGATGTGGTTTAAAGCAAGTTACATAATATATAAGTATTTCATATATTTACAATATTTTGTAAACACCTGCCCTTTGTTATGACAGTGCATCAGTATAAACCAGGCATGTCCAAGGCATTGATCGCGGAACGATTTTTGGTCGATCTCATAGGCCTATAAGGAAATTATACGTGAAAAGCATATAAATTCACTTGTAATATAACATGATTAGATTCAGATTTTGAAAGGAAAATACATATTAGTCATTCCTATTTTTCTGTTCTTAATGAACAAGGTAAGTCTGTAATTTCAATGTATGTTGCTTTTACAACAAACATCATGTATTGTGTTATTTTTACCAATATTTTTGCTTAAAGCGAGGTACGACGATAGGAGGGTTGGTAGATCACTGGCATTTTTTGTCACTAAGACGTCAATCACAACCCGTTTGAAGTTGGACATGCCTGGTATAAACTATTCTGAAATATTTCATTTCATCGGTAAATTTTGTTTATTTTGAATATATACATTTTGTGTTTAAGAAGAAACATGACTTACAGTTACATTTTTGTCTGTATATAAGTAGTGACCAGTTCCTGTCACACTCATGAAAAACACATCATGCCTTGTCTAAAATAGAGGGAAAAGCAATCAATCAATTTATTTGTTCCTAGAATCAATATTTGGAGATACAACCTGCGGATATAGAACAATTCAATTACTACATATTAAAATAACATACATATCATACATGAGTCAACAGTACTATGAAACTTAATTACCTACATATTTCATACACAATCATACAATACATCATCCCACTTGCAACAATTCAATACCAAAAGAAACCCGACATCAAACATTTTCTTTTATAGATTAAGTGAGGACAAGATCTTTGTCATAACACACTCACTTAGGAATTTAAGGGACATAAATTCATGAGCAGAATAAATGGAATGTCTGAACTATCTTCTGCCACTGTTGGGTAGAAGGTGAAACCCAAACTGTCTTCTGCTGTTGCTAGGATATGGTGAGAGTAATGATAATGGGACAGACAAATGAAAGGCATTCTCGATCAATGGATCATGAACTAGCATGTGTTTGTGGTGGAACAGTGGCACTCCTGGCCAAGGTTATTGAAAGTAGGGAATGACCATTTCCTTCCATATCCTTTCTCTTTCATTATTTACTATTCAACACCATATAACTTGAGCTATTGACAGGATTGCCAAATGTTCCATAAATGAATAAATATTTCTTATTTATTTAATGATTCTGTCAGTAGCGAAGGCTGTACAAAATTGAATGGTAGGATAGTAAATGAATAATGAAATGAAAGGGATGTGGAAGGAAGTGACCTTATTTGAGGTACTATCCCAACATTTGCCTAGAGGTGCTGAAGAAAGCCGTCAAAACCTTAGTCGTGATACAGAGTCTCTGGGCCAAGAGTTGAGCCTGTGCCCTCTCTCATACGAAGCAGGGGTGCTACTCACTCAAATGTGACATTCAGTATAAATAAATAAATCAGTAAGTTAGTGAATGAGAACTCCAAGAAGCACATATAGGTCACACCCTTAGTTAGTTAGTTGTTGGAGAGGGTGGGTTTCCCCATGTACTTAGACCAGTATTGGTCCATTGTGCTTCCCTCTATGATATTCTACCAGTCTCTATACCCTACCGATATTGGTGCGTACAATCAGTCCCGACCGAGCCAGCGAGTTCGGCCTCTACTGGCTTGGTGGTATCTATAATGCTTCCCCCATCTATCAGAGGCGTTAGGGACTACTGTTGGGCGGGAAACGTCCTTGAATTTGGCTCAGTGACCTCCTTTGGAGATATGAGGTTCTTTTATGTGCCGTAAAGCTACGACACAGGACCCACGGCTTAAAGTCCCTCCCGGAGGACTTGTTCCCTGAATTTTTCCGCCCTTAAAAATTCCACGACCTTCGCTGGGTTTCAACCCGCGTACCACGAGTCATGAGGTGGGAACGTTACCTCTAGACTACGGAGGCCGCTGAGGTCACACCCTTACTTTCAGACTGGAAATTTGGAATGAAAAATGTTGTAGAAGAAGGTAAGAACATTTTAATTCCTTCAGTGGGTACGGTATATGTGTTGGTCATGGTGTTATGGTGTATCATTTATAACAGCATAACAAATAGGAAGCAAACTTAGTCTGTAATGGATATTTGTATTTTGATGTACACAAATTATTCTTCTTAATTAGTTCAAATATTTCAGTTCTGTGTAATATTCAGCATACATAGAATTTTGTAAAATTTTCTTTCGCTTATTCAAGTAAGACATGACATACATATTTAAATTATATGCTAGGTGAAGAATTTAAATATAAAAACAGCCAAAGTTATACCAAATTGTAACAAAACAATGTGATTTGGAATCTTGAAGTTAGATCCTGACACTTAGTATCCAGACCAGAGTTCATTTGTTTTGCTCAATTTCTTTTAGGGATGATACAGCTAAGTACATGAACAGACATAATTGTTTCCTTGCAACATAATACTACCTTAAAAGGGCCATCAACTTCAGAAATCCACTAGAATGCTGTGAAATATTCAATACTAATATAAACAAACTTGGTATTAAATACCATAACTGAAATCCATATCTTTATATTATAGGGGCTGTTGCTATCCTGCCAACTATTCTGTACCTCACTACTGGAGTCATCAAGGAGTCTGCTACAAAGAGTATTCATGATCCAACTGTAATGGCCACTGCTGTACCTGTCACAGCTGCTCTTCACTGTTTGAAAACCTTAGCTACTGACAAGTACTGTAAGGATGAGAGGTCACGAGAGGACTGGCATAAACTGTTACAGAGTGCTCTCGCAAAAGTCATTGATCTTGCCAAGACAGGTAAGGAGAACATTCAGTCACTGTCATCTCTTACTTTCTTCCATGATGGGTTGATCTTCATTCTGCACTGTACCACCATAAACACAAATGTTGTGTCTGCATTCTTTCCATGCTTTTTTTTTGTATATCATCCCCGTTCATGGCTGTTCATTCAACATCAGCTTCCTCTGAAATCCCCGACTTCAAAATGACACCCCTTATTATAGAGCATGTAGCACACGGAGAGAGATGGAAATGTGTACAAAATTTTGGTTGGCAATCCTGAAAGAAGGAGACCATTTGGAAGACCTAAGTGTAGATGGAAGGATNGCAACATGTTACAATATCATGACATATTTGTTCAAAGTAAGAATAATAATTAAATTATATAATTTTGATGTATTGAAGTGGTGTCTACAATTGTTTACTTTGAAAAATTTTCATAAATTATTTGTGATACTTTTTTCAGGAGAAATACCCTGACCTATTGCATTCATTGTATTGAGTTGTAAGGCTTAGTATGTTTTAAATTCTTATAATAATAGGAAATAATTCTTGTAGTTTCATTTGTCCATCCTAAGAATAACTAAATTGTTCTTGTTGCAGGTTCAGATGAAACAAAGCTGGATGAGTTGACAATGCTATTAGGTATTGCAGTGTTTGTTCTGCATGCTCCGGCTGAAGTGGTTTGTGCCCCAAACTTGCAATATCCTTGCATCAACCAGTTCAAACAGTGTCTGCAAAGTAACAATATCACAGTAAGTAGATTATATTTTAAGCAAAGAGTAATGTAATGGTCAGTTCAATCCATGATGAAAAACACACATTATAAGTATTAAGTATAGATCATAGAATTACTGCACTGGGTCATTCAGTAGAATTTGAAGCTAAAATTGAACAGTTGAAGCACATTAATCCATTTTGTAATATATGTTTTCTTTATATATTTTCTTGTTATAGCATCTAAGCTAGTAGTGATCTCAAGTCTAATGAAATAGACAATCCTTTGTGTTGTTAAATGACAGTTGTGTTTGCCACAGCCATGACAATCTGAAAGGTCATCTTGGAAAACATCCACATAGAAAATTGAAAAGGATATGATTCTTAGAGAGATAACTGGTTATGAAGACTGGAGGTGGATGGAATTGGTCCCGGATGATGGTCCTGGTGTTAGTGATGTTCAGCCTTCATATCCTGGTTCCACACTGTTAGCCAATCAGTCCATTGCAACCATAGAGTTACCGCAAGCAGCCAGAGGATCAGTCCTTCTTTTAGGGATTTAATATTTCAGCTTCGCACCACAGGGATGCATGAACATATACACATAAATGTTCATAACATAGTATTAGAGTTTCATTAAATAAATATTATATTATCACATGTTAGTGACTAGACACAAGGCTGGGACTGGTAATTTGATTTACTGAACGTCTATAACTCACAACTACAAATAATTATAACTCCGTGATTTTAGTCCTCAAGCGAACTATACCAACTAACTTCAGAATCAGAGTTACTTTATGACTGGCTGTTTACCGCCGATCAGTTCATCTTAGTGTCAAGCCCCTTGAGGCTCATGACTGGAGATTTTTTTAACTGAAACATTGCAGTCATAGTCCTTATGTAACATCTTCTCTGACAAGAGGATGGGTTTGTTTCTTATGAATATGCTTGGTCTTGTCAAGTGTAAATGTTGCCCATACAGTATGTTATTTCAGTGTGCCTGACTGACTGCTCAATTGCTGCTGCCCCTCACCATCACAGTTATTCTTGGTTCCAAGTCCCATGTGACTTGTGACCATATTTTACTGTCTGACAGTTCTGGGAGACTCAAGTCAAAGTCACATTGTGACTGACGGTCAGTCAGTCAGTCATTCAGTCTTGGAGGCGAGCCCAATCTGAGGCTTATGACCAGATGTTTATTACTGTTTGACAGTTTTGATCTTGTTTTTGTGGGGCGCCCTCTCTGATGAGAGGACAGGTCTGTCTTTTGTCAAAGTCATTGTCTGCAGTAGTAAGTCCTTTGTCATAATATAAAGGATATTTACATTTTACATGTTAAACATGTTAATAAATTTATATAAAATATAGACAGGGCCTCTCTCAGTCCAGGCTCAGTACAGTAGATTGTGCCCTATTTCTAGTAGTTTCTGCTATAACAGCAGTCTAGTCACTTGAACAGTTGTATGTTTGATCGCCTCTAAGTTCAAGCCTCTTATACTTTCTGTGTAGGGCTTCGCCTTGTCCAATATTGCGAACATTTTTGTTATCATGATTTTGTATGACTTCTGCTTGTTGCCTGCATAATTTTATTCAGAAGTCAAAGTCACATTGTGACTAATGGTTAGTCAATCAGTAAGTCTTGGTGTTGAGCCCCATTTGGGGCTCATGACCAGATATTAATTATTACTGTTTGACAGTTACGGTCTTGTTTCAGTGGGGCGCCCTCTCTGACAAGAGGACGGGTCTGTCTTTTGTATGTGCTGCTGGCCCCTGCCAGCACAATCTTTCTCGGGTCTGAGTCCCTTGGTACTCAAGACTACTGTCTCAAATTCGAGACTTCCCTTTTCGTTGCCTCCTATGACTCGCAGGGTCACGGTGGAGGTATTCGACCCCGCCTCCACACCCATAATTTTATTGATCCATTGGTTCTCCTTGTATAGCTTCAGTGCAGACCAAACTGAGAACACCGCTCTCAAGGATTCTTCCATTGTTGAGTGGCATGTTAAGTGGGCTGTTACCTGGTGATTGCCTGGTTATTGTTGAAGCAGAAGCCTCTTTTGGTTTCTGTGGAAACATGTTTACCAGCCGTTGCTTAGCAATGGATGATTTTTCTGGGCCCACTGTTCCAGCTTTCAGCCATCATGTCACTGCATAATAAGTGCTCATTGAAATTGAATTTTATTGACTGTATGACTGTATTGCCAGGTGAAGCTGAAATGTGTGCAGACATTGCGCACAATTTTTTCACATCCAGACCGTAGTGTTGCCACACCATATATCCATGCTTTGGCACCACGCCTTGTAGAGTTCCTGTACTCGGAGACAAGCAGACAGTTGTCATCGGATACTGAACTGTCACTTACTCTGGAGAGTATCCAGACCGTTGAGACACTCATCACACTTGCTGAACCTAAACACAGTAAGTAAGCTGCTCCTGTAGTAATGTTGACATAGAAGTCAGTAATGAAGTAAGTTCAGTCTAGAGCAGTGGTTCTCAAAGATGGTTCATGGAACCCTAGGGGTCCATGAGGCTTGGCCAGAGATGGCCAAAAAGACTTTTTTGTCTTCCTATTATAAGGTATTAGGAAAAAAATATTGTATTGAATATTTTACAAAATCTGTTTATGTGGAATGTCATAATAAATATTTTTGACATAAAATTGAATATAAATATGCATACATATGCTAGTTACATAGTTATGACTCAGCCAATTTCGTCTTTAAGTGATTGAGGTAAGAAAATACATCGTAACCTTTATTAAACATCTTGTAAACATTATGCAAGCATTAAAATATTTTAAATAAATCTGTTTCAAATTGATATACAGATAATTTAAATATGGAGGTATGAGGGTTCTTTAACTGTGCAGTGTGTTGCTAGAGGGTCCATGGACTAGATATTTGAGAAGCACTGGTCTGGAGCATTTAGTGTTTTGGAAATATTGCAGCTTCCTTGTTTGGTCCCTCCTTCCTCAGTCTTCTTCAGACAATATCCCATTGGATGACCTTATTCGTTTTCTCTTCAAATATTGCATTACTGCGACAGAAACAAGAAATTGCACAGTAATTACACTTACCCTCAGTAAGAGATGAATGTTATTTATTCCATTCATTGTTGCTTAATCAGCTGTTGAGACTATCATGATGTTTGGTAAAGTATGATGTGATGATATTATTACAGGAGAGTGGAAATCCGTCTGTTTTCATATTAGACCTGTTACATTTGTGATTTGTTTCTAAAGAACTGTGACTAGAATTCCATGTGGATTTTACATTGTATAAAATAATATACATATTTCCTATTTCTATCTTTGCTTTCCAGGAGATCTAATGCAAGGCAAGTAGTCCAGTTAGGTATATTGTAATTGGGTTTTCAATTAAGTACATTTTATGTCGTTTTTAACTACTTCTGTAATAAATGAAAACTAATTACATAAAATATTAAATCTAATAAAATAACAATAGTATATTATCTTTTTATTTCACAATGTATGTATTTTAAAATAAAGTTAGTGTAATATTTTGAAACAGAAAATAATGTAATATAAAAGATATAAAGGCACTTATTTTTGAAAATGTCTTCTCATTTTGTTTAGTTTTCTAGGGAAGGCTATGTTGGAATGCAGGCAAGATTTTAGATGAAATGAACATAGAAACCACACATAACCAAATTTTCCTCTTTCCAAGCATTCCTCAGTGGCCATTGCCATTAGCATCCAGCATTTATGTACTTTCAGTATTTCAGGTTCAGGACATAGATGTTTGTTGATGAGACATTTTTCAAATGATATAATTTGGTGACATACTTGAACACATACAGGGGGTTGACAAAATAATTAAACCCTAAGAAATCGGAATACAATTTGTGTTGGCTACATTGAAAGAACTTCAATTGGCAACACTGAATGTTCTTTTTCCATTTGTTTACACTCTGTAGTGCTGATGTCAGTTCATTAGTGATTGTGTTGCATGACAGTCCATGAGAAAGAATCTGAAGATGGGAGACTTTTCCAATTTTAAAAGAGGACAGATCATTGGTGCACATTTAACTGGAGCATCTGTGACAAAAACTGCCACATTGTTAGGTGTATTGAGAGTGACAGTTTCTGAAGTTATGTTGGCACACATGAATCATGGGAAGACAACAGCAATGAGGAACAGTGGGCGAAAATCAAAGTTGACAGAAAGAGATAATCGTACATTGAGAAGGACTGTTTTTTTAAAAATCACACAACTACTGCAGCAGAACTGATATTCATCTTGAAAACCTGTTTCTACAAAAAATGTCTGATATGAGCTTCACAAGTCAGCATTCACTTACTAAACCCCTGATTACTGAAAGTAATGCTCAAATGCCTAAACAATAGCATCTTCACCATAAGACCTGGACATTAGGCAACTGGAAACGCATGTGATATTGTCAGATGAGTTGTTGTTCATGCTGTTCCCTATGTTAGGAGGAGTTTATATTTGGAGAACACCCAAGGAAGTCTACGATCCAAAATGCTTGGTTCCGGCAGTGAAACACTGGGGATGTTCTGTGATGGTTTGGGCAGCAATATCGTGGTACAGTATTCTGTTCGTCCCATTATTACCCTTCATGACCGAATTTCTGCAAGGGAGTGTGAGGACAGATCAGGTAATCAGGTGCATCCCATGATTCAGATGTTATTTCCAAAGAACAATGCAGTTTTCCAAGATGACAATGCCCCAATTCACACAGCTGGAACTGTTCAGTCATGGTTTGAAGAGCATGAAGGTGAACTGTAGCATCTTCCCTGGCCAGCACAATCACCACATTCAAATATAACTGAACCACTGTGGTTAGTTTTAGAGACAAGAGTGAGGAACAGGTTCCCACCTCCAACATCTCTGAAGGAACTTGCAGATTGACTTCAAAAAGAATGGTATAAAATTCCACTAGAGACTGTTCAAAATGTATGTGAGTCTGTTTCAAGAAGGATTGTGGCTGTATTGAAGGCAGAAGAAAATCCAACACCATATCAATAAATGTATACAGTATCTATAGTGTTCGCATTATTTTGTTCAACCCCTGTATGTTTATAATGCTTGCTTAAATGTTTCGGTAAATAAAGACAAATTACAAACTAATACTTTATATTTGATCTAATTCATTAAAGCATGCATTTAGTGAAACTTTATGGGACTCCTGATTGTATAGATATACAGGGAGATTTTCTGAGAGCCTACGACAAATTGTTCAGCAAGAGGGACATGCTACTCATGTCAACTCATATTGCACACATTTGACTTTGTTTCATAGCCAACATGCTAGTAGCCTACACACATTACAGTTTCTCTCTGGTATCATCCCCATTAAATCTTCAAACAGCTACCAAGAATGAAGCCTGCGTGTTATATGCCTGCATCAAACATATAATCAGTCATGCCATTTTTTGTGTCAAAATGGCGTGTGAGAGCACACATTGAAACAAATGTTCATGTACAGTACCAAAGTGAAAAGTACGGAAAAGATTATGGCATAAATTTAAAGTATGTTACAGCTCCAAATAAAAATGAAATATGTGCATGCAATCAAAATAAATTTAGACAGGTGGGGGTCATTATCAGATAAAAAAATAAAGCAAAATTCCAAGTGCTCACTGGAAAGAAACTGGATGAAATTAATGCTAGGCTTGAACATTCCCCTAAAAATCCCTTAGACACTTTGCATAGGAGACCAGTGTTTAAGATTTTGTTCTCTACTTCCAAGGAGCTTCTCTACATGAAAGTGCATCTTTCATGGAGGTGCAAGAAATGTATGTTAACGTGAGGGTACATCTGTGATATCTTCTATGATCTGAATGGCTGTTGTGTGATTTCTTGACCTGTGGGCCTCTTGATTGCACTGCAGTTCCAAACACAAAAAGAAGTGGCACAAAGAGCTTGTATTTCTGTTGAACCAACAGAATGAGTTACAGTAGGCTCTCAAAGAACCTCCATATAGATATATATTTATAGTCTATGTAAATCATTATACTGTGCCCAAACTTCTATTGATCCATGCAAGTCTGTACTGTGGAGAAATTTCTGAGCTTGATATCTTACAACGTAAAAATATGTTTCTCATTATTACAAGTTTGTTTTTCTGTGATTGCAGGAATCCAGATGCTAACACTTTTAGTTCCAATCCTGGTGAACTGCCTTGTAGAAAATTCTGCTCTGAAAGAGGCTAACAACTTCACCAGAATTCTTCATGACCACAGCTTGCAGAAACTTATGAAAATTGGGCCCCAGTATCCTCAGGTATGACTCTTTAATGTATTTGGCAGGAGAAATTAAAAATCTTGTTACATCACACTGTATGGTAATTCTGTGTGATATTTGTATAGTCATGTAGTGAAGGCCCATTATGATACACAGGGAGGTTTTTACCTTCGTTGACCTATTCATGGCTCTGCACTTCATGGTGATTGACGCACCACCAGGTGTAAGGCAAATGTGAATAATACTGACTTTATTGCCAATGAATCAGTATGCATTATGGCTGATAACATTTGGAAAGGGAAGTTATTTACTTTGTGGACTGCTTGGCAGCATTATGTTTCACAGTGAGCAGTGTGGTTCATGCATGGGAATTTGTTTATGATTTGTCAGCAGTGGGCGGCAGTTATCAGCTCCATTAGCTGTTTGTTCTCAGTTACAGTTAGTGTGGTATACTTTGGAGCAACGTGTAACTCCATATGACACGTACATGGAATACAGATCTTTGAGAAAGAGTTGGCAAAAATTTTGATGTAAATATCATGATGAAAGAGTTTCCAACAAACAATTCACAATTTGGTGTATAAACATAGATCAACAGGGCTCTTAATATACAAGAAACAATAACATAAGTGCCGAGTGCTTAATGAGGAAAAATTAGATGACATAGGGGCCAGACTTGAACATACACCTAGAAAATCACTGAAACATCTAGCTCAAGGGACTGGAGTGTCGGTCTAGTGCAGGAAGGGCAGCACAATTGGTGAAGCCTAGACCTTATAAAACAACAGTAATCCACACATTGCAGCTGCGTGATCCAACTAGCAGGGTTCATTTTTGCAGTTAGCTTCTACAGTCAGTGATAGAAGGTGAGATCAATCCGCAGTTGACAGGGACAGCATTTTCAACACCTCATATGATTTGTGAATTGTAACTACTTCATTTCAAACGTTATCAGCCAACAGGCATATTGATTCATCAACAAAATCCTTATGCCCCTTACAGTCAATGGTGTATCGGTCACCTTGAAGTGCAGAGCCGTGAACAGGTCCACAAAAGTGAGAACCTCCCTGTACTTTTTGGAGAAAGTGAACACATATAGATGAATGCTTCTGTCTTTCTGTTCACATACCAGTCTTGAAAATGTGCAGTCAGTTTCAATGAAAGTTGGTATTGAGGCTCATCACTGAAACTATCAAATAAATATAACATATGTAAGATTTGAGGCTTTCACGGCGGTGACTATGAAGAAAGCAGTCTTCTGGAATTTGGCACCGTGTATATGTGGTGTTAACCGACGTTCCTCTGAAACGTCGGTTAACACCACATATACACGGTGCCAAATCCCAAAAGACTGCTTTCTTCAAATATAACATACATTCAAATCAATCCAATACAATCCCTATATTACATATTGCTGAAAAGAAACTTTTGATTTTATTGATTTCATTGTATAGGATACTCAAATATGTGATAAAAAAATAGTGGATCAAAAATTTTCCTTCAAAAATATGATGAGTATTTACTTCAGTTCTCTGCAGTGCAATATCCATAATGTTAGCTGTGCCGCAACAGACTTGTGTGTGTTGTTATGGTAAATGTTAAAATATAAAGATTTACAAGTTACATTGGTCCTCATTACTGTTAGTTATCAAACTCTGAACTACTATAACAGGCAGGGGCAAAATATTTCTCTTCTCTGTAGCATGTAGACCAGTTCTGGGGTCCACCCAGCCTCCTATGTAATGGGCACTAGAGGCTGTTTCCTTGAGGGGGGGGGGGTAAAGTGGCAAGGGTATGAATCTGAACACTCACCTCCATCTAATGCCAAAGTCAAGAATGGTGGAGCTATGCCCTCACTCCCCAATACATCCTTATGGAGTCATGCTTAATTAATTAAGCACAGGCACAACTTTACCTTCTACATGTTCCACATGTATGAGGAATAGTAACCTCTAATGAGTTCTTAATAAAACAAGCAAAGAGAAAAAAATGCTTGTTATTTACAAAAGGTACGTATATATTAAGCTGCTTTTCAATGCAGCCACTGCTGCGATTGAGACACTTGTATCAGGGATTAAGTTTTTGTATGCTGTGTCAAGTCTTCCCACTGTGAGCTCAGTCACGTTTTAACACCTTCCATCATCTCATTATTGTTGAAGTGCTGTGATCCCAACCAGTTCTTCAGGTAGGTGAACGGGTGGTAGTCAGTTTGAGCAAGAACAGGCCTGTAAGAAGGATGGTCAAACAACTCCCAGTTGAAATGTTGCAGCAGTGCTCAAGTGCGAGTAGCTGTATGCGGACACACATTGTCGTGGAACACTACGAGTACGCTGTATGCAAGCATTCCATGCCTTTTGTTCTGAATGGCCCTGCACATTTCTTTTACTGTTTCACAATACACTTATGATGATATAGTAGTCCCTTGTTGCATGAATTGCACCATCAGCACTCCTTTCCTGTCCCAGAAAACAGCTGCCATCAGCTTTCTGGCAGGCAGACAATATTTGCTGAAACTTCTTCGGCTTTTTTCGTGAATGTGTGAATCCATTGTCTTCACTGCTCTTTGGTTTCAACATTCACAAATAGAACTCAGGTTTCAACATCTGTTACTCATATGATGTGACTGAGAAATTTGCCATCTTTGTGGTATCACTCTAAAAAGTCAAAGCAGAAGCCATTCTCTGCATTTTATGCACATCCATGAGCATTTTCAGAACCCATCTTATGCATAATTTGTGATAGCTTAGCCTAACTGTGATAATCTCATAGAGAAGTATGCATAATTCATGACAGATGTCCACAGCACTCGTGATTTTAGCATGAAGAAAGTGGGTAACAGCTTGAATTTTGCAGCTGGCAGGATTACTAGTAGTAGGTGGTAGGTGTATTTTGTGACCTTACAAGGGCGTTTGATTGTGTCAAGCACAACCTACTAATCCAAAAGTTAGAACATTATGGTATTAAAGGATGTATTTTGAAATGGCTCAAATCGTATTTACATAATAGGAAACAGAGAACTGTATTACACACTCATGACTCAACCACCTTTCTTTCTAGATGGGTAACCTGCAGACATGGTGTTCCCCAGGGTTCTGTCTTGGAACCATTACTATTTAATGTTTACATTAACGACCTGCCAAGTACTCTAGATGGTTTGGCTCATACCATTCTTTACGCGGATGATACCACCATTATTGTTTCCTCAAAAGACATCACCACATTGAATCATAAAATAAATAAAATAATGAATCATATCTATGAATGGTTTCAAAATAATCAATTAGTCCTTAATCTCAAGAAGACGCATGTAATTAAATTTACTGTGCCTATAACCATGTTAGATACTATCAGTGATTTGGTAGGTAAAGTTCAGAAGATAGCAAGAAAACCATGGGTTACACAGGAGATGATGAGTAAAATGGAAGAATGTCAACAATGAAGAAGGCAGGAGGAAATACAGGAGACTGAGGAATGAATTGAAAAGAGCCACGGATAGGGCCAAAAAGGAATATCTTGAGAAGATATGTAATGAGATTATGGAATTTCAAAGAACAGGCCGTTATGATTTGATGTACATGAAGACAAAAGAACTAGGATGGAAAGAGAATCATGGGATTCAAAATGTTGGCATCGAAGACTCCCAGGGGAATAGAATAGTAGATCA